TCAAATTTAAATTTGAGAAAAATATTTATTTAAACTGTTAACATACTAATGTATTTTAGTTATTGGGCCAAGGGCCCATTCAGTTTAGTTTTAGTTTCAATTCGGTGTGGTTGTCTTGCACCGAAGATAAATAGGAGGACCTTTGTGGTTACAACTTGTAATGGACCATTATTCTGCTAAATAAGAAAGATACCAATTCTTTTGGGCCTGCACTATGCGTTCTTTCATGGTACCAGAGCTGGTTTCTTGAAGGTCCATTGCCATTTCAAGAAGACGACGTCGTTTCGTCTATCATCATCGTCGGTTGATGCGGCGCATGAAGGGGGTCTTCATGTTCAAGCCCTAATTCGTTGATTACACCGTGTCGAAAGCCAGGAGAGCAGATCGCAGTTATCCACCATGGGAGATTCAAGGAAACCGGACGATTCTGCTGGTGGGAATCTCAATTTCAACCATCCGCTATACCTCCATCCTTCGGATACACAAGGCGCAACCATCATCTCACAAATTCTCATCGGCGCCGAGAATTATAACGTCTGGAGTCGAGCCATGAGAATAGCCCTGCGGGGGAAACACAAATTGGGTTTCGTTGATGGATCTTGCACGAAAGAGATGCAAGAAGACAACCTGAAGGATCAGTGGGAGCGCTGTAATGCGGTGGTGTTATCGTGGATCCTGAATTCGATCTCAAAGGAGCTCGCGAACGGTGCTGTTTTCTTTCAAGATGCTCGGTTAGTATGGTTGGACCTACAAGAACGCTTCGACAAAGCAACAGGTTCGAGAATTTTCTTCCTACACCGAGAGATATCTTCCCTTCGTCAGAATTCCCTTTCCGTTTCCAGTTATTTTACACGCCTGAAAGAACTCTGGGAGGAGCAATCCTCTCTGGTCCCGATTCCATCTTGTAAATGTGAGACGTCTAAGATTTATGGGGAAGTGATTCAACAACAGAAACTTCTCCAGTTTTTGATGGGTCTTACCGAAACCTATAGTCAAGCACGGAGCCAAATCCTGTTGATGAGTCCACTTCCCTCGGTGAACCAGGCATACGCAATGATATGTGAGGTTGAGGCTCAGAGATCAATCTCCAACTCAAATATCGAAAGCCCAACAGAAGGTATTGCCATGATCGTGCAAGGCAGAGGATATGGCAGAGGAAGAGGAAGGGGAAGAGGAAATTCAAATTTGGAATGCTCACATTGCCATAAAAAGGGGCATGTGAAAGATCATTGTTACCAAATTATTGGTTATCCACCGGATTTTAAAGGAAATAAAAGCAGAGCAGCAAGAGCTGATAGTGCCAATCAAGTACAAGTGGAAAAAGATTCCAGTGCTCATTCGGCCAATACAGTGACAACCTCACTCACGCCAGAGCAGTACGAGCGTCTTCTGGAGCTGCTAAGGAAAGATGCAGACACTGCCATACATGCCTTGACTGGTACAGGTTTGGCAGAATCAACTTCTTGCTTGAATATGATAGTTAGATGGGTGATTGACTCTGGTGCAACTACCCACTTAGTGAGTGATTTAAAACTTTTGGACCATTATACTGATTATACAGGACCGACTAAAACAATAAAAATACCAAATGGAGAAAAAAGTTGTGGCTACTCACATAGGAGGAATAAAATTCACTAATGATTTTTATCTGGAGAACGTTTTATATGCCCCACAATTGCAGTTCAACTTGATATCTGTACCACGTATAACTAGGGAATTGAACTGCTTGGTTTGTTTTCTTCCTAACTACTGTTTTATGCAGGGCCTTCAGGATGGGAAGAAGAAGGCGACTGGTAGTTTGTTTTGTGGTCTGTATCTCTTGAATTGTGATCAGAAATATAATGCAGTTAACACAATTAGTAATAGGAATAAGTCATGTAATTCTACTGATATTTGGTTGATACATAGGAGACTAGGACATGCTCCTTTATCTGTAATGAGGCATTTGAATGTTGTACATGACAAGAATATATCAATGGATGAAGCTTGTGAAATTTGTGCTCAATCTAAACAAACTAAGCTTCCCTTTTCCCCAAGCTGCATTAAATCTAAATTCTGTTTTGAGTTGTTACATATGGATGTGTGGGGACCTTATAAAACACCTACACACCAAGGGCATCATTATTTTCTCACTATAGTAGATGATTTTTCTAGGGCCACTTGGACCTTTCTTATGAAAAGTAAAATAGAAACTGGTAATCACATCAAGAATTTTATTGCTTATGTGCAGAATCAGTTCTCTGTTAATGTAAAAAGAATAAGGAGTGATAATGGCACAGAATTTAAGGTTGAGAGCCTATGATGAAAGGAAAGATAAGAGGGCGGACCTTTTGAGAGACCCAGAACGTTATAGACGTTTGGTGGGACGTTTAATATATCTCACAACAACCCGTCCTGACATTTCCTTTTCTGTGCAGGCACTAAGTCAGTTTATGCACACACCAACAAAGTCACATATGGCTGCTGCAGTGGGTGTAGTAAGATATTTAAAAGGGACACCTGGACTAGGGATTTTGTTGAGCACTGAAGGGAATTTAAACCTGACTTGTTTCTGTGATGCAGATTGGGGAGCTTGCCCAACTACTAGGCGGTCTGTGACAGGATATCTGTTGAAGCTGGGAGGTTCACTGATCATGTGGAAAACAAAGAAACAAGCTACAGTGTCACGTTCTTCTGCAGAGGCTGAGTATAGGGCATTGGGATCTGCAGTTTCAGAGATAGTGTGGACGGTCGGTTTACTTAAAGACTTGAACATCAATCAATTAAAGCCAGTTGATGTTCATTGTGACAGCAAGGCGGCCATGCACATAGCAGCGAATCCTGTATTTCATGAGCGCACGAAACACATAGAAATCGACTGTCACTTCGTGCGAGAGAAAGTCCAGCAAGGGCTGATCAATCTAATGCATGTTCGTTCTTCTAAACAAGAGGCTGACCTACTCACTAAGTCTGTTAAGGCAGAGACCTTGAGGACAATGTTGTTCAAGTTGGGAGCTGTAGATATTTTTCGCCCTCCAACTTGAGGGGGGGTGTTAACATACTAATGTATTTTAGTTATTGGGCCAAGGGCCCATTCAGGTTTAGTTTTAGTTTCAATTCGGTGTGGTTGTCTTGCACCGAAGATAAATAGGAGGACCTTTGTGGTTACAACTTGTAATGGACCATTATTCTGCTAAATAAGAAAGATACCAATTCTTTTGGGCCTGCACTATGCGTTCTTTCATAAACAATAAATAACCCATAAGAAAATGACAGGAGCTTAAATAAATATGAATAAGAAAGTGGGCAATGATATCGATTTTTTTCCGATATAGATTACTTGTTATATATAAATTTATTTATAATATCAATTATATTTCTTTTCAAGAAGATATCTCCAAGTTTCTAATATGTTACAATTGTGATTATCATATTATTATAAATTTAAACGTGACAATAGAAAATCAGATACACATGACTGCATATATTGAAAAACAATTAAAAATATAAAAAATGACTCATGGCCACATAATATTCCCTTTGAATATATATATTTCCTCAACAAAGAGAATAATGCAATCATTCATTGTCTTCTTCTCCCATCTGTGTTCATCTGAAACAGTAATCTCTTTCTGAAGAAAAATGCAAGTCACCTAATTAATATATATAATAGTTTGAAAACAAAAATATTTTAAGTATATTTAATTATGTGCTTCTTCACCTTGTCACGATAGGCTAGCGGAACAGCCATGAGGTCGGTTTCTGGGAGATTTGCATGAAACATGTGTCCACAAGCAAGTAATATTGAAGAAAGCTGTTTTCATATGAATTATCGAATCAATTAGTCGTACCCACGTGTGTGTGTCTACATATATACTCCTCCGATCCTAATTATAAGACCCAATTGACTTATTTGAGGAGATTAAGGAAGTAAGTTAAGTTGGTTATTTATAATAAATAAGTGTTGTCATTCTTAAAATATCCTTACTAATTAAGTATATTGGCTTAAACTATCATTATTAGAAGAATTATCTTGGAAAAAAATGCATAAATATAAGAAATAAAATGGATTGGGTCTTATAATTAGGACCAAATAAAAAGTCAAATTGAGTCTTATAATAAAGACCGGAGGAGTATAAGTGTAAAGGGTAGGTTTTAAAATTTTTAATTTTTTTCCGATGTTTTTAAGATAAAATTTTTTTAGTTCATTCTTTTTTTCTTGGTCAGATTTTTAGTTCATACTTTGAAATGAAGTACTAAGGTAAAAGTACACACAGGAATTGGAATAATGAACGTATAAGATCTTGACCTTTTTTTTTTTTTTTTCCCTTTTTGCTTTTGGTTTCCCTCTTGTCCTGTACGTGCGTGTGAAAAGAAAGGTACGAAACCTGAATTGACTAATTTTGTTAATTAAGATAATAAAAGAGAATTTGCTTCTGGAATGTGCTCTCCACTTTTCTGTGCCCATATCATATCATAAGACTATGCTTCATATTCATTATTTTAATGATTTCCATTGCTCAGTATACTTCATAAACGACTAAAATATATTATGATGATCGAAATATATATATTGGGTATGGAATTTATTTAAAAATTTTCTGGTATTTCTTGGAGGGAGGGAAAATATTTTGCAGTTGGAAAATAATGCCTTGGCTGGAGAATATCGGAATAATTAAAACAAAAACATATATAAATAAATGAGGACAGACCCAGAAAAGCTGGAGAAACCCAGGTTCAGTGTTGAATGCCGATTTGGAATTCAAATGACGGACGGAATATTAGACCTCTTTTATTGTTATTATTATTATTATTATTATTTATTACTAGATATATCCACACGTATGATAATTGTATAAAGTCAACGGAGGGAACCAATTTTTTAAAGTTAAGAAATTAAACGTCACCTTTTCAACTCGAAAGCTATCTAAAGGAGAGCAGAGACGTGTGAAAATAGCTAGTCGAAATATATAAAGCGTATTAACTTTAAGAAATTATATTATTCATGAATACATATGATAATAACTTGTTCTTTGTTCTTAAAAAAAAATTCATGCAATATATTTCGCCTATAATGATCATTTCTGCCCCTTAATTTGATTAGACACTTTTTTCCCAGTATTATACGGAACATGAAAAGTATGGTTATTATTCGTAAATTATAAATACTTACGATTTGTTATAAATATATATATATTGATATACTGATAATTAACGCGATTTCACAAAACATGATCGATCACCAGCGTAGACAAAAAACGATCTCATGAAGTTTTCAATTTTAATATTTTGCTCAAAAGCAAGAAACGTTAATGATCCAGAGCAATATAATTGTGTGAAAAGAAAGAACAATACATTAAATTATTTACAATGATGAAATTATGTAATATTGTTATTATAGTTACATTTTTATTTCCATTTTCATTACCCACTATTGTTCATATTTAACTGTTTGTGATATAACTTCAATTTCAGTATTTTATATTTCTCCCTTTCTTGTGCTTTTTCCTTCTAAAATTAGAAAATAAAGATGTTGTCGACTTTGAGTCCGTGCCCATTCAAAGGAAAAAAAAAAACTTCAATGTTATTAATTGTAACACGATAAAAGAATGGAAGATGCGTGATGCACCGTTATGCATATATATATGTGTGTGTGTGTGTGTAATATAAAAACTTTTTGTACAACGTTGACTAGTTAATATTACACCCCGCAAGATACCCAATTATCATTATTATAAAATCAGAGAGAGCAAAAAATATGAAATTAGGATTTGCCAAAAAAAAATTATAAAGTGATTTATCCGACACGAATAAAAACAATAAGAGAGAAAATTAATTTTTTAAATTTTACTTAATAGTTGAGACATTAATGGTTTCATTGAAAAAAAGGTTCAAGCTAGACCGACATAGAACAGTTTGTTTTTTTTTTTTAATAAGCTGGCCCAACAAACAAACGTTTAAGATGGCCCGCCCAGATATCTGCTACTTCATTGTTCCTCCAGGATACACATGTGCGTTGATTTTTTTTAATTTTTTTTTGGGATTAAGATGTGTTGAATTTAATCCCATGTTTTCAAACTGATAATTCAAGGTTTTTGAATAAATTGTCAGGCCCATGGCTGGTCAAAGAATACTTTCCTTTTACGTTTCTTCTTATGTATAGTCCACTTTTATACATTGCTAGAAATTTCATCCTTTTCAATTAACTTGTATAGCTGACTACCACCTCATCACATTTTATTCAATGATTTCCTTGAAATTATCATTCCCTCAAAAAAATTCTGAATTTATGATAAAATTAATTATTACAGTATTAAATTTTTTGTCAAACAAAATTGTCTGAAAATTCATAAAAAATCTTAAGAGATTAATCCAATATTTATATATGTATGTGTGACTAACAAATATACTTGTTAATAAGTAACTGAAGATTGAACACGCCATACTTAATTTTTAGTTTAGTTTCAAAGCATGATCAAGATAAGCAGGATATGTTCTGAGTTGGACATCATAATGGCCTCCAATTAATTAACCATATCAATTTGTTCATGAAAATTCTACAAAGTTTAGCAGACGAACACGTTGAAAAGAATTATTACGGCCTTCATCAATAATGCATAACCTTTTACTGAAATTAATCGTGATCAATCTTTGATTCTGTGACAGTTATATATATTTATATATAAATAAATAATCAACCACGTTTTCTGGATAAGTCCAATTCATTGCTTTTATGCTTTTCTTGGTCAGCAACTTTACACGATATATCATATCTTGCATATACATGTCAAACATTACCATCTTTAATTTTGATCTCTTTTTCTGTTCATTTCGTCTCAGCCCATTCCATGTTGTCTCCGAATTGAAGGTTACGTGATTATTACTTTCTCATATGATTTTAAACTTGCGAGATTTCATTTACTTATTTTTGAAAGTATTCAGAAGCCAGAAGTTACTTCATGAGTAGAGAAATTTGAGAAGATGTGAAATAGTACAAATTATACAGTGATGATGTATATATGTAAATTTACAGAAGATGAAATTAGTCCAATAATAAACGGACGTAAACAAGAAGCAATCGCTCCCTGCAAAGTCCCGCGTTGAGAAAAATAATATATTTGTATTTTATTGACTCTCACTCTTCCATATAGTTGACTTTTATATTATCCAATAATATAATTATATTTCCTGGATGGTTAATCCACATGATCTTTGATTTTTCTTATTACTTGATTCAACCAAGTTGGCAAACATATCTTGTTAATCTTTTTTATGAATCATGACCGACTCTCTCTCTATATATAGTCGATCAGGATCAAGGTTGTATCGTCATCCCCACAAATTGCAAACCCTACAAAAACATATGGCTGTCTCTCGAATCTGCTGTGTATTGGCCATCTTCTTCTCTTTGGTTCTTGGCCATTGTGTTCTGAACATTGAAGCCACCCACCATGTTTATAGAAACCTTAAAACTGTATCTTCTTCCTCAAATCAACCTTATAGAACAGGTTACCATTTCCAACCACCCAAGAATTGGATCAACGGTACTTAACTGCTTCATATATCTCTCTCTTTATTCTTCTAATTTAGTTTCATGTTTTGTCATGTCTCTGACTTTTTGCTCTTCTGCTTTCTTTCTCCTCTCATCGGACACGATTTGCTGAAATTGAACTCTGCGTTGTTTGGATTCTGCAGATCCTAATGGTAACTTCTATCCTCTGAAAGTCCTTCCTATATTGCAGTACTTTTATTTCTTGATCAGGCCAGTTCAGAAAATATATGAATGTGACATCACATTTTGAATCTTGCTTAGTCAAATCAAAATGTTTGAAACGTAGAAATTTTAGATCCAGCAAGATGCATATGTGTTATTGTAGAAAACTAGCTATCAAAATGCCAGATTTCTTAATGTTTATTCAACGCTAGTTCCAACGCAGGAAATTTCATAAAAATAAGATTAGGAATCAAAACACAGAAATATTCTGTGTGTTAAAGACGAGACGAATGAAAAGGATTGATGGCCGAATGATATTGAAAGGCCTTTATCCTTGGACACGGTCGTTACATTTCAAGTTATTTTAAATAAGGATGTAGACATAAAATTAATTGTGTATATGTAATTCCAACAAAGCTTTATTAATAAAAATTTATATGATGTGCTTGTATATTTTTTCTAAAATTAAATTACCACATGGTCCTTGCAATATTTATTTTATTTTGTTTCCTGTAATCAATGTCTTAATAATAAAGAAAGTAGAACAAGAAATACTTTCAGTTTTTGTTTTTGCCAAAAAAATATGCTTATACCAGATAGAAAATATATGCTTTTCATGTTCTTTATTAAGAATAATTGTCATTTTCTGTATTAATATAAACTACAATAACAAAAACTGGTAAAAAATTATGCTTAACCGAACTCTCAGTTTTTTTAGTTATTCACTCAAATTATGTCTTTGTCCTACATACGTGAGAGGATGGGAAAAGATGACTTTATGCATGACTTTGACGTGCAGGACCAATGAGATACAAAGGGCTATACCATTTGTTCTATCAATACAATCCCAAAGGCGCTGTTTGGGGGAACATTGTGTGGGCTCACTCTATATCAAAGGATCTTGTAAATTGGACCCCACTTAACCCAGCCATCTACCCATCTCGTCCGTCCGATATCAACGGGTGTTGGTCAGGATCGGCCACGATTTTGCCAGATGGCAAGCCCGCCATTTTATATACAGGAATTGACCCGAATAACCAACAAGTCCAAAACTTGGCCTACCCCAAAAATGCCTCGGATCCATATCTTAAGGAATGGATTAAGATCCCTCAGAACCCCTTAATGGCTCCAACCAGGGCTAATGGAATCAATTCTAGCTCATTCAGAGACCCTACCACTGCTTGGTTAGGCAAAGATGGGCACTACAGAGTTCTAATTGGGAACAAAAGGGACACCAGAGGGATGGCACTGTTATACAGATCCAAAGATTTTGTACATTGGGTTAAAGCCAAACACCCTCTTTATTCTGCTAGAGGCACTGGAATGTGGGAATGTCCTGATTTCTTCCCAGTTTTGTCTAAGTCCATGTTTGGTGTTGATACTTCCGTTGATGGACCTTTTGTTAGGCACGTGCTTAAGGTTAGTTTGGACGATACAAAACATGATTACTATTTGATTGGGACTTATGATGCCAAGAAGGATAAGTTTATCCCGGATACCGGATTCCAGAATGTTAATTCTGTCTTGAGATATGATTACGGGAAATATTATGCCTCCAAAACTTTTTTTGATGATGCAAAGAAGAGAAGGATCTTGTTAGGCTGGGTCAACGAATCCTCAAGCGTTGCTGATGATATCAAGAAAGGATGGTCAGGGATTCATGTAAGTAATTAACTAAAGTGGATAGAAATATATATTTTATAACTTCTATTGCTTTGCACGCAACGAATTTATTGATGCATTCAAAAACGTCAAGTTGAAGACGCAAGGATAGATTAAAATATGAGATAGCCAGCTCATGAAGGTTGAAACGAGAATTCATATATATGCAGAGACGTCAAAGTTGAACCGAATGCAAATATATGCTAGTCTAGTCAAGAGAGAAAATACATGTGGTTTTGAATAATATATAATGGACATGTGGTTTGTAGGCAATTCCAAGGGCAATCTGGCTTCACAAGTCAGGGAAGCAGTTGGTGCAATGGCCGGTGCCTGAAATTGAGAAGCTGCGTGCAAATCCAATTAACTGGCCAATCAAAGTGCTCAAGGCTGGTCAACATCTCCAAGTCACTGGTATCACAGCTGCACAAGTAAGTCTTAAGGAATCTGTTTCGCTGTTTATTTTCTCGGCATCCTAAGTAGCATAGTAATATAGAATAATGAGGCCAGTTTAATAAGATCACGTGAACTCAAAGTATCGGCATGGAAAAGGCAAAAACAAGAGATTTATGTAGACAAGATCCTTCGATGGTGCTTCCGGGGCTGTATTATATGTTATATTAAGTAACACTGTATACTACAAAATTTTATATTGAAACGTTGAATATGATAATATCTTTTAGCGTTGGAGGCCCAATAAAATAACTTTTAAGGGGAAAAATCATCATGAAAAAAGTGAAATTTAAAATGTCTAAATACGCGTAAGAATTTCATATTATATGGTTTTTGGCTGCTAATAATAGAAAAATTCGTACAAAGACAAATCCTACGTGTCTGGTAGCCAAATTATAGTCATAGTCTAAAATTGGAATGACTGAATAAACATGAAATATATTCGTTTCTGTGTGGGTGTGAACAGGCTGATGTTGAAGTGTCATTCGAGGCAAAGGAGTTAGAGAAAGCGGAAATATTGGAAAAGTGGATGGACCCCCAAGTTTTGTGCAGCAGAAAGGGTGCAGCAATAAAAGGTGGATTAGGACCTTTTGGTTTGCTTGCTTTTGCTTCAAAGGGCTTGAAAGAATATACTGCTGTCTTCTTCCGAATCTTCAAATACCAAAACAAACCTTTAGTCCTTTTCTGTAGTGACCAAAGCAGGTTTGTCCTCATCCTTCTCCTTCTCCTTCCAAAACTTATTCCAATTTGTCAATTCCCAATTATGCTTTGTCCCACATGCAAATTAATGCAATACTTTGACAGGTCTTCATTGAATAAGAATAATGATCTCACCACTTATGGGACCTTCCTTGATGTTGACCCTTATACGGAGAATCTCTCACTTAGAAGCTTGGTGAGTTGCAAATAAATCAATATGGCATCCATAAACTTCATTCTTTGTTGGTTCAAAATCCTTATATAATGAGGGTGATTGTCCATTTTCACAGATTGATCACTCAGTAGTGGAGAGTTTTGGAGGAGAAGGCAAGGCAGTGATCACGGCCAGAGTTTACCCCACATTGGCTATCAATGATGAGGCTCAGATTTATGCCTTCAATTATGGTGCTGCTGATGTTAAGATCACCAGATTGAATGCTTGGAGCATGAAGAAAGCACAAATCAATTGAGACCAAGCACAAAAAAAGTGGGATATAATAATACTAGCTAGATTCATTACGAGGAGTATTTTTTAATTTTATAAATGTTCATTTTGCTTGTGCTTCCAAGTATAGTAAAAAAGTTAGATTTTTTTGGGCGATTGTCACTTTGTATTATGATTTGTTCCCTCAAATATAATTAGAGTTTGGGTTTCATCCGCACTCTAGCGTGAATGATTTGTCATTTCTGATATTTCTGACTTTTCAGTCAAACCTTTGTTTATACTTTATACAATCATCTTTTATCTTTTTTTCCCCGATCTTTCCCTCAACAGGGGGAAAAAAAACTCACCAGCCCATAACTTCATACTTATATAAGATTTAAATAGGTGTTTAGTATTAATTGGACCAAATGCCTGACATACTATCATCATTTCATCTAGAGAGAAGTGATGAGTTGCGTATAAATTTTGAGATGAAGAAAGTAGTTCCTTCTGTTCATTTATGTTTTAAGAAGAAAAATGATAAATATGTCCAACTTAATGACAAATAATTAAGTACAGTGAATTGCCCCTAAGAGTGTCATGTCCTATACATATGAAATAATTAAAATGCCCTTTAGCTAAATTTGACCAACTTTGACTAAACCTTTAGATATTAGGTCTATTTGTGAAAACGTTTAAAAACACTTATAAACACATTAAACCGAAACAAAATCTCTCTCTCATATGTTTATCTTGTACTTCACAAGTTACAATTAAAAAGTTACTTATAAACTATTTTTAATAAACCAATTATTTTTGCTAGCTAGTAGTTGGATGGTGATTGAACCACCACTAACCTGTCATTAGACCACCGTACCGTTGTAAGCAGTAGTGTCAGCAAAGTAATTAAAGTAATAATAACACTTTTATTTTAATAATATTTTACATATCACTGAAATTAATTGTATCAACACTGTTTGATTCTGTGGCAATGAAATTCAAGTCCATAATAATAACACGTCTTCTACTATTCATTGCCTTTCTGCTTTCTTTAGTCGGCAACCGAACGCGATGTCATATATGTCCCTTTTTCTATTCTTTCCGTATCATGGCGTCTTTAATTCAAACGGTTGCGTAATTTACTGAAAAAAATTCAAACATATATGTTACATTTACATACTGATAAAAATTTACACAAGATGACATTAGCTCTAACAAAAAACAAACCTAAACAAACTGCTCCCTGAGAAGTCCCATAAATATTGACTTTTGGGATCTTAAGATGAAGAAGCTCTTAGTCTTTCATATATAGACATTCAACTTCTACTGCATATTATTCAATACTACCTCCGGTCCTAATTATAAGAGCTAGTTAACTAATTTGGGAAGATTAAAGAAATAAGTTAAGTTAGCTATTTGTAATAAATATGTATTGTGTTTCCTAAAATATCCTTACTAATCAAGTTTATTAGGTAGAACTACTGTTATTAAAAGGATTATGTTAGAAAAAAAATACATAAGTATGAGAGATAAAGTGGATTGGGATTTTATAATTAGGATCAAAATAAAAGTCAAACAAGATCTTATATTAAGGACCGGAGGTAGTACATGTTAATTTCTGTGGATGCTTCTCCCGCATGATCTTTGATCATTTTTCTTATTTCTTAATTCAAACAAGTTGGCAGTATTCATATCAGGTCAACTCATTTCTTGATTCCGAATGCTCATTTCTTACGACTCAACTCTCTGTATAGCAGATCGAGGTCGAGCTTCTTCCATTATTATTCCCACAAATTACAAACTCTACAGCAATGGCTGTCTATCAGATCCGTGTATTCGCGATCTTCTATTACATTCTTGGGCATTGTGTTTTTATTAATAACATTGAAGCCACCCACCAACTTTACAGAAACCTTCAAAGTGTGTCTTCTTCTTCTTCCTCCTCAAATCAACCTTACAGAACTGCTTACCACTTCCAACCTCCCAAGAATTGGATAAACGGTATTCAACAAAGTCCTTTTCTTTTCCTGATTATTTTCCTTGTTACTCTCTTTCTTCTTTCGATGTTTTGTCGTATCTCTTACATTATGTTCTCTTGCTTTCTTTCTGTCCTGTCATTGGACATGATATATGTGTGTTGAAATGGACCTCTGTGTTTTGGCTCTTCAGATCCCAATGGTTAGTTCTATTCTCTTTCCTTCTTATATACAGCTTTCCAGTTCGAATAATATGATATTTTATGAATGTGACTGCATATATATGTTGAATGGAGCTTAGTTAAAATGTTTGAGATGTAGAAAATCTGCCGTCCAACGGGTAAATATTCGAAAACTTGGGACGTCTCATCGAAGTTGCAAAATTTCTAATAGAAATTTTATTTTTCACGCAATCCATAAAATTTTCGTGTGACTTCTGTGCAGTTCCTGTGCATAATTCATGCAGTTTTCAAACGAATTTTGTTGAATTTCCATACAGTATATGAGGTTGTCAATGCTAGTCACTTGCAGATGCTTTTTTATATACTTTTATTACACAACTGTCTTGGTAAAAAAAAAAAAAACAAAAACACAACTGTCATCTTCATATTAATATAACCGGTGACCAAATTAAAAAAATATAAATAATTATGCTTAAAAACAACTAAGGGAATACACGAAATGTTGAAGATGTCCACATGCAAGTGGGTTCTTTATCCAATGTATGCCATAGGTGGAAAAGTTGACTTTTATACGTCAATTTTATGCGCAGGACCAATGAGATACAAAGGTTTATACCATTTGTTCTATCAATACAATCCCAAAGGCTCTGTTTGGGGGAACATTGTGTGGGCTCACTCTGTATCAAATGATCTTGTAAATTGGACCCCACTTGACTTAGCCATCTACCCATCTCAGCCGTCTGATATCAACGGATGCTGGTCAGGATCCGCCACAATTCTTCCAAATGGCAAACCTGCCATCCTATACACAGGAATTGACTCAAATAACCAACAAGTTCAAAACTTGGCCTTACCCAAAAATGCCTCGGACCCATTCCTTTCAGAATGGGTTAAGAACCCAAAGAACCCCTTAATGGCTCCAACTACGGCTAACAAAATCAATTCTAGCTTATTCAGAGATCCCACCACTGCTTGGTTAGGCAAAGATGGGTACTATAGAGTCCTAATTGGGAACCAAAAAGAGACTACAGGCAGGGCACTCTTATATAGAAGTAAAGATTTTGTGAACTGGGTTGAAGCCAAACATCCTCTTTACTCAGCTAAAGGCACTGGAATGTGGGAGTGTCCTGATTTCTTTCCAGTTTTGTCTAAATCCATGTCTGGCATTGATACATCTGTCAATGGACCTAATGTTAGGCATGTGCTTAAGGTTAGTTTGGGTAGTAAATTGCACGATTACTATATGATTGGGAGTTATGATGTGAAGAAGGACAAGTTTCTTCCAGACACGGGGTTGCAGAGTATCGAATCTGTCTCGAGGTATGATTATGGAAAATATTATGCCTCCAAAACGTTTTATGATGATGCAAAGAAGAGAAGGGTCCTGTTAGGCTGGGTCAACGAATCCTCAAGTGTTGCAGATGATATCAAGAAAGGATGGTCAGGGATCCATGTAAGTTAATAAATTAATGGGTATATGATTAAACTAATGATAATGGGCTGAATCTAGCTAGAATCCATGTGCAGAGTCCAGATAGATAAATAAAATATTTTGAACGCATGTGGTGTGCAGGCAATTCCAAGGGCAATTTGGCTTCACAAGTCGGGGAAACAGTTGGTGCAATGGCCAGTGGTTGAAATTGAGAGGCTTCGGGCAAACCCAATCAGCTGGCCAATCAAAGTGCTCAAGGCTGGTCGACATCTCCAAGGCACTGGTGTCACTGCTGCACAAGTAAGTCTCAAAAACCTGCCTTCTTTTGGTCCCAAAAAAACAAGAGAGAACCCGCCTTCTTTATTTATTTATTTTATATATTAATTATCTATATATGCAATTATGCATAGGCAGATGGACAAGATCTATCTAGACAGATAATATTTACTTATTTTATTTAGAATTATAATCAAGTCCTAAAGAAGAGAAATAATTATTAAAAAATCCTAATAACAATTTGAGCAGCCTGTAATGATAAGTTTTAGAGTAGAGAATGACCATATTTAAAACTTGTTTTGTAATTTTTTTCTTTCTTGAGATCTCATTGTGATTCTCCTTTTTAATATTTTGTTGCTACAGATAATGCTGCATGTTTGGTATCTATACTAGTTATAGTCTAAAACTACTAAGGTTGAATTGACATGAAATTTGTTCTTTTTTGGTTCGGAATGATCAGGCTGATGTTGAAGTTTCATTTGAAGCAAAGGAGTTTGAGAAGGCAGAAGTATTGGAAAATTGGATGGACCCCCAAGTTTTGTGCAGCAAAAAGGGTGCATCAGTAAAAGGTGGATTAGGACCTTTTGGCTTGCTTGCTTTTGCTTCAAAGGACTTGAAAGAATACACTGCTGTCTTCTTTAGAATCTTCAAACACCAACACAAACCTTTGGTCCTTTTCTGTAGTGATCAAAGCAGGTTTGTCCAAAACTGATACCGATTTGTCAATTCCCAATTATGCTTTGCCTCTTACATGCAAATAATGCAATACTTTGACAGGTCTTCATTGAATAACATCAATGATCTCACCACTTATGGCACCTTCCTTGATGCTGACCCTTATCAGAAGAATCTGTCACTTAGAAGCTTGGTATGATGGGTTGCAATAAATCAATGACATCCATAAACTTCATTCATTATTGTTTCAAGATCCTTGTATAATAATGTGTGTGCTTTGTCCATATTTTCACAGATTGATCACTCAGTAGTGGAGAGTTTTGGAGAAGGCAAGGCAGTGATCACATCAAGAGTCTACCGAACATTGGCAATCAATGATGAGGCTCACCTTTATGCCTTCAATTATGGTGCTGCTGATGTTAAGATCACCAGATTGAATGCTTGGAGCATGAAGAAAGCACAAATCAACTGAGAGGTAGCACAAAAAATGTAGGATCGTCAATATGACCGAGTTTGACATAAGTTTGCACGGAGTATTTATGTGTTTTAGAATTATAAATTAATCAGATAGGAATATATATTTTGGTTGAAAACTATGGGCTGCTGATGAATATTGTCTTATGTACTACTGACGAATATTGTCTTTTTTTCTTACTGGATGTTACTTTTCCAAATTTAAAGATTTATTTTTATTATTATAATTTTTTTTAGTCTATATTATTTAAAACATATATAATTTTTTATGATTGATTTGACCATAATTCGACAGTGCCTCACATCACGGCATGGAGCATTAAGAAATCCCAACTGAATGGAAACTAAGCACCAAAAATTTGTGTTCCATTGCTTTTAAAGGTTCTTTAGTCAGTTGAACTTTTAGATTCGTCTAACGAACTATTGTAATAGAATTATTTAGGAATGCTCTTATTGAAAAAACAATATTTAGGAATGCGTTTGCTAAATTTTCCAGATGATTGTCACATTGTAATACTAATTCAATTTGTTTCCTCTAGTTTAACCGAAATTCCGCTTTGATCCACTCCCCAAGATGAGTCATTTGGCTTTGAACCACAAAATTCTCAATTTCCACGCTCCCAAGACCGACCAAAGCAAACCCGAGGGGGGGAAAAAAAACAAATTTAACCCATACGATCAAATTTTTTTAATTAAAATGAAAATTTAGTTGTAAATATTTTATGGTAAAAGTTAATTAACCATTATAATTCTTTCTAACCGCCACTGTAAATTACCCAACTTGAGCCGAGGCCGAGATGGAGTGGCCTCGAAGGGGAAATCCATGGCCATGGGGGTCGAGGTCGAAGGCGAAGATGGTACCAAACTTGTGTTGGGAACCTCTGGTAATATCTTGTTTGGACGAGGCTCAGGGTTTAACACCAACGACCGCACCGTTTCTCGCCGTCACATTTCGCTCCAGCTGAGAAGCTCGCTTGAGAAGAGCGATGCCGGGGGAGAGCCTAGGGTTTCGTTTGAAGTTATAGGAAGGAACCCCATTTGGGTGTTTAGCAAGAACGATGGAGGAATTCGGATATTCAGGAAGTTCGAGAAAGATGAGATGGAGGTTGGCGACCGTTTCTGTTTGTCTGGGAAGGCGCCCGTTTGGTTCGATTTGAAAGACAGTAAAGTTCAAGAAGGAAAGAAGAAGACTGTTTCGAATACTGAGGAGGAGGTTTCCGAGTGTTCAAGTAATGGGCTTGACATGGAAGACATTGATGTTTCAGGAATTGATCCTGTTAAAGGTAATGAGCCGTTGACTAAATCTTTAATTTCTCTATACTCTGTTTTCTCGATAAGATAGGTCATTTGGATGAATGTAAGTTTAGTTTCGGGACTATAAATTTTTTGTTTTTAAATATTGTTCATTGTTTTGATTTGGCTCTTTGTGTTCAATTGATAATCTAACTTCAAAATCGAATTAACTGAGGCCATTAGCTTTTTCCATCAAGTGAACAAATTCGAAAGATGCTGTGTGGACTCTGCAATACACATCTGTAAATGAAACTGACTGTACTGTACATTATATGAATTTGTTGATAAGGACCAACTCTGCAGAAAACGAACCTAGTTAAGCAACCAAATAAAAGAATGATAAATAACATAACAGGATCAAAATACTAATTTAATCAAAACTTGGGGTGCACATATTTTACTGTATTCTTTGTCTATTTTTCCTCCTTTAATGCTTGTCTCCACACCCCCTCCCCCACCAACCCCGATAATGGAATGATGATCAACAATTTTTACTTTTCTTCGGACAACATGACTTCTTGGAAATAGTACCTTCAATGAAATTTTTTCCATTGGAAAGAAAATAATTTGTTATGTTGGTCATTGATTAACAATATAGTGGAATTTAGTTATTTACTGTGGCAAATTTTGTGATTACAGAGTTTGGTTTTGTTGTGATGGGGCACGAGTTTGACCACTATCCCAAGGACAAGATCCTCAATGTGAAGAGTTGGAACTGGTTCCTGGAGGAACCTAACAAGGATGATGAAGATGAGGATGATTTTGAAGAGAAGAGGCCGACCATCAGAAGAAAGCGAAAGAAAGGTAAAGACAACAAAGATGAAGATGATGACTGGACTGTGGAAAGTGAAGAGGATACAAACCTTGTCGCAAGCGTGAGGAAAGTAAGAAGGTCTGGGTACTCTACTCGGTCAAAAGACCAAAATAAACAAACCAAGGACAGCGAAGGTGGTAAAAGTTCTGGACGAAAGAAAGCTCCTAGCGTGGATGAAACTGTTGAAGATGAAGAAGATGAGACATTGGGAGGCTTCATTGTTGATGATGAAGAAGAGGATCAGGAAGTGGAAAACAGTGAGGAGGAGGAGGAGGAGGAGTTGGAGCTTGAAGAAGATGAGGTGCAGGATTAATATTGAAAGAGTGAACAGACTACTGGACAGTGAATGCATATTGTAGGCTTTGTAATGTCAAATGTCAATACTACTACTGTTATGTATTTTGCCGTATCATTACATCATTTTGTGTTTCATGTTTTGGTTTGAAAAGAATAGTGTAGTTTAAGTTAACTATTCAATATGGTAATATATTTGTTTAGTTTAATAGTAGGCAGCACTTTTTGATGTGAAATTCATTGTTCAAGCCGTTTAGTCTAACTGAATTGTTATGCTGCTGAAAGATATACCATGCTTGCTGGAACTGAAAGATTTTCCGAAACCCTCAAGCCTCACCCTGCCTCTTACAAAATGCTATGGCTTTGGCTGGATGGGCATCTGGTTTGCCTGACCCGAGGTATCTATCAGATTTGAGAAACAAGAAAGTAGATATATGTTATATTGATGAACTTTCGTTAAGGCACTGCTAAATTGGAAATCAAAGTTTCTGCAACTCCAATCTCTCTCCGATTAATTAATTTCCATCGTCTCTCTTATCACTTTATGTTAAGTCTTCTTTTTCTAATTTTCCGGTGTATCTATGCCTGCTATTTCCTTAGCACTGATTTGGCTAGCCCGTGATATTTTTTTGGTTAATTAAACGACATAAGAGAAAGAAAAACCTTCTGCTCCAGATAGACTTACTCTCAGTCAGTCCACGTTCGGCAACAAGTTGGGGAGGAAGAAAATGTACGGGATGACTCGCGCTCTTGTGGTAATGGCCTCGCTGGCTTCTGTTTGTCATCTCCACTCTCTGCCTCTTCCGATTCTGACTCGGTTTTGGAATTGGCTGCGACTACCCCCTCTCTGCTTCTTGTGTTCTATGCAAGAACAACATACCATTTTCAACCTCCACAAAGAATTGGATCAAAGGTATTCTATCTACATTGTTCATCCAATTCTTTGGAAGTTGAAAATGGTATGTTGTTCTGTAAGGTTGACTTGATTCAGTGCAGACATAGTGGTGGCCAAGAATTAAGTAGGAGATGGCCAATATATAGACTAGAGAGATGGCTATTGCTATAGTGTGTTTTCTGCACATCTGAGACATGAGAATGGAAGTTACGAGTCACAACGGTGACACAGGTATTATTTAACAACAACAAAAACTGAAGCTTATGTTACGCAACCAAATCAGTGTCAAGGAAGTGGCAGCCGCGGAAATTTCAGAGAATGAGAAAAGGAAGAAGGCCAAAACTACAAAATCCAAGTTTGAGTGACTTGAGAAACTAAAGTAACAGAAATGCAAATAATGAAGAATTAGATCCGAAGGGGTTTCTGTTGTGAGGACTCAGACTCAGAAAACCTAGGCTGCAATATGAAGCGCGGAGGACGAGGGGGACGATAATTATATAATGAGGGCGGGCATGCCATAGCGAGGGTGTATGAGTCATTTTAAATATGTTTATAACGATTTCGTCCTTAATAATAATTTCAATTTTCAAGGGATTTTAAACTAAGTAGTCTTAAATCTTGGCCATTCAACATAATTATCCCTTGTCAATCTGCACATAACATATTTAATTAAGGTATTAGGTTCAAATCTTCATGTATCCACATTTTTACTACCCACACTAGTTCAAATCCGCATTGGATAGGAGGATAAGTATGTTTAATAAAATAATATATTGTTTATATGATACTTCCTCCGTTCCTTATTATAAGAGACATTTGATGCTTATGACATGTTCCTATATATAAGAGACACTTAAAAGTTGTCTCTACTTTTTTGTGTTGATTTCCTATTTTACCCATATTTATTATCTCCAACTCACATACTCTCTCCTTCCCACTTCTCTCTCTTTTAATAATTTAATTATTCTCTCTCATGCTCTCTCTCCTTATTAATGAGGGCTTTTTTGGAAAAAAAATTATACTTTTTACACATTAATTGTTCTTAACTAATTTTAACTATTTTTTTGATCAACATACTTCGGTTATTTGTCTCTTATAATAAGCGCAACTGCCATCTGACATTATTTGGCCGCCCCATTTCCCATTTGGGAATGGCAGAGCAAGAGAAAAATATAGAAAAAGTCAATTGGGAAATTATCTACTACTACTATTACTACTACTATTATTACTACTACTACAATATATTTTTAATATTTAAAAATACAAATTCAAATGAAAGTAAGTTTTGGGATTGCTATTAAATTACAATAATTGAATTAAAATATAGTGAGATTTATTTAGAGACAATTTAATATTTTTAAATTTATATTATAATATTTAGTCGTCTTAAATATTACAACTTTGAAACTTCTCTTCAATAAATATAGTTTTTTTCATTAGTCTATTCCTCTAATTTTCTTGCTATAAGTGAAAAGGTAGGAGCTAATAATATGAGGTTATAAGCGGATTAAACTTGTAAGCTCCTATAGGAGAGTTCTCATATATTAAAATAAACACGTTTGAAATTCTTATTATAAAAAAAAAAAAACATGTTTGAAATGACACACACACCCTCATTGCATGCCTTTAAATTCAATAATTCATCGATCGTCACCTTCATCTCCGACTTCGGATTGCTCCAGTCGCTAGTCTCCCAGAACAACCTCACGGCACCACCACCTTTGGTTCTCTGAATCTGAGTCTTCCGAAACAGAAAACCCCTTCAAATCCAATCCTTCGGTACTTGCATTTCTAATCTGATTGTGTAATGAAGCTTCAGCTTTTGTTGTTATTATAATTATAATTCCTATGTGTATGTTTTCAGATTCCAATATACTATATGTACCGTCGTGATTCATGTATAACTATCATTCTAAATCTGTCAAATCTGCAGAAACACTAAAACAATGGCCATCTCTCCAGTCTGTGTATTGGCCATCTCCTTTTTCGTTGTTGCCCCCTGTGTCCACAACGTTAACACCGAATCATCAAGGCAACCCTATAGAACTGCCTTCCACTTTCAACCGCCCAAAAACTGGATCAACGGTATATACTCTACCTCCTTTCCTTTCTTTATTTTCCTCTCTTTCAATGTTTGTTGTCTCGTATTTCTCACACTTTGTTCTTTTCGTCTCTTTGTTTTGTCATTTTTGACACGGTACGTTGAAAATGGACATCCGGGCGTGTTTTGCAGATCCCACTGGTTACTTCTATACCCTTTGCTTTGTTTCTTTCTTCTTTCTTCTTCTTCCTTTTTTTTTTTTTAAATTTTTTATGAAGTCTAGCTACGCATTACGTATTTAATCAATGTATTATTTATACAACAATCAACTTGAGAGTTTATGGCTTGAAGCTCAACTTCCATCTATCATTATTTGGCAGCCCCATTTCCCATTTTGGGAAAGGCGAGGTAAGAGAGAAATATTGAAAAACGCAATTGGAAAATATCTGGTATTATTAAATTATATAAAAATGGGGCTTTTTGTAATGCCTAAATTTAGCTATATTATTGCTTAAATATGATGACAAGACTTGAGAGCTCCTAGGAGCGCATTGTTTAGACATGATTGCAGCAGAGATTTGTAACTTTGTTGTCTGCCAACTCATTGTTTAGAGTCAATTATATATTATCAAATATATATAATACATGAGGTCTAAAATAAACAAAAATATATTTCAAATCGTGTGTTTGTGTATTTTCTTCGAGTGAATCTTATAACCACTTTTATATATGTTCAGGGCCTATGAGATTCAAGGGGTTGCATCACTTGTTCTACCAGTACAACCCCGAAGGTGCTGAGTGGGTTCAGGGGAAGATAGTGTGGGGCCATTCAGTATCAAAGGATCTCGTTGATTGGACCATATTAGGCACCGCCATCTATCCATCTGAGCCATTTGACATCAATGGTACCTGGTCAGGATCGACCACGATTCTTCCAAGTGGCAAGCCTGCCATTTTATATACTGGAGTTGACCTACACAAACTTCAAGTCCAAAACTTGGCCTTCCCCAAAAATGCCTCAGATCCATACCTCAAGGAATGGGTTAAGATCCCTCAGAACCCCTTAATGGCTCCAACTAGGGCTAATGGAATCAATTCAAGCTCATTCAGGGACCCTACCACTGCTTGGTTAGGCAAAGATGGGCACAATAGAGTCCTAGTTGGGAATCAAAGGAACACTACAGGGGTGGCTTTATTATACAGAAGTAAAGATTTTGTGAACTGGGTTAAAGCCAAACACCCTATTCATTCCGCTAAAGGCACTGGAATGTGGGAGTGTCCTGATTTCTTTCCAGTGTTGTCCAACTCCACGTTTGGCGTTTATACTTCTGTTGATGGACCTTTTGTTAGGCATGTGCTTAATGTCAGTTTGGACGATTATAAACATGATTGCTATCTCATCGGGACTTATGATGCTAAGAAGGATAAGTTTGTCCCGGATACCGGATTCCAAAATGTTGATTCTGTCTTGAGATATGATCATGGAAAATATTATGCTTCCAAAACGTTTTTTTGATGATGCCAAGAAGAGAAGGATCTTGTTAGGCTGGGTCAACGAATCCTCAATCGATGCTGTTTATCTCAATAGTGGATGGTCAGGAATACCTGTAAGCGGACGGTATATTTATATTGCTTTAAAACAAATTCATTGATACTTTTAAAAATGTCAGGTTGAAGACGTGTGTATCTAGAACCTCTCTATCTATATTTAGTGCGAAATTGAACCAACATAAATTTACTAAACAGAATGTTTTGAATTAATTATAACATGTGACTTGTAGGCCATACCAAGGGCGATTTGGCTTCACAAGTCAGGGAATCAGTTGGTGCAATGGCCGGTGGTCAAAATTGAGAAGCTGCGAGCAAAACCAATCAGCTGGCCAACCAGGGTGCTCAAGGTTGGCCAACACATCCAAGTTACTGGCGTCACAGCTGCGCAAGTAAATCTTAAGAACCCTCCTTTACGTTTGTTATAATAAATAATTTGGAATAATGAGTTTGAGATGAGTTCAACACATGTGGAGGCTGATGTTGAAGTTTCATTTGAAGCAAATGAGTTTGGGAAGGCAGAAGTGTTGGATTACTGGGTGAAGCCTCAGCTTCTTTGTAGCAGAAAGGGTGCAGCAGTAAGAGGTGGTCTGGGACCTTTTGGCTTGCTTGTGTTTGCTTCAGAAGACTTGAAAGAATACGCCGCCGTGTTCTTCAGAATCTTCATGCACCAACGCAAACCTTTGGTCCTCTTCTGTA